GGAGTATTTCCACCTGCATGTGCCACTAGCATATGCTCAAAGCAAGGTCAGTATCTTTCCCCTCAAATCTGTTCCTCCTTCTGACTTGATGATTTTTACTGATGTCACCACCATTTATTCTGTCTCCCGTGCTCAATTATATCTACCTGTGTGACCAAGGGCAAGTCACCGATGTCTCTGGTCTGATTTTCTTTACCTGTGCAACAAGGGGTTTGGACAAGATGATCTCCAACATCCCTTTCAATTCAAGACCTAGGATTCTATGATTCACTGTATTGGGTATTATACATCTCCATGCTAGTATCTTATCATTCTACTAGATAATAAGCTCTTTGGAGACAAAGACCATGTCTCATCTAAACTTGTCACAGGAAATATTCATCACTGGAGGCCAGTTATTAATGAGTTTCTTAAAGTAGGTAGGCTGGTCCTTGAGTAAAATACAGTCATTAATGTTCATATGCCAGTTTGGTAGGATGTATATACTGCCCTCAAGAAATCAGGATTTCCTTTATGCTACCATGATGACTTTAGTGGAGATATTTGCTAATACCAAGAGTTTAATCCAATACTCCAAATGTAATCTGGTTTCATAAACAGGAATGGCCAAAAATTAAAATAGTCTGAGATACTATAATAATACGAGAAATTCTATAGCATGTTGGCCAGGTTCTCTATGAAGAATTTATTAAGGGGGAAAAAAACCCCAAGAATTGTACACAACAAGGTGTGGAATTATAAGGTGAAGGTAGAAACCACAATGGTAAAATCATGGATTTTTTAAAGTCTCAAAATACAGTCTGACCAATGCAGAAAGACAGACATCACTTCCTATAATTTGGACACTAGACATGCAATTTTCACTTTTTGCTGAAATGTGCTCCCGGAAATATCACATAATAGATCAATGCAAAGCAGACAGTATTTTCTTTTGAAAAAGATGCTGTAATTGGAGATTGTTTCTGATCAAAGACTTAACATCAAATAAGAGATATTGACAATAATAAAAGAACCCTAATAATTTAAAATAACAAAGGTAGGCTCCAAATTCTGTGAAAGAGGCACCATGTACTGTATGCATTAATTATACAAAGAACGCAAAAGTTATAAAGCATATATCCAATGTATTAAAAAGTATAACTGTACTATTAAAACAGGCTAGCTATATAATAAAAATTAAATAATTGATGAAATGATTGTTTTTTAACTTCATAAAAACAAGGCAAAATGCAGTGCTTTGCCCATAGTTGAATCTAAACAGTGTGGGGAAAAGCACAGCATAATGGAAAGACAAGAGACCTCAATTTGGAAGTAATGACATCAATGTATTTAGAGGACATCTAATTAACCTTCCTGATTTTGCCAAAGAGGAAACGGATGCCCAGAAAGCTTAAGTGACTTTGGTAAGATCACAGTCTGTAAGTGGCACAGCCGGCATTTGAACCCAAGCCCTATTATTACTAAGTGAATATTTTTTCGCATCACATTAGAAGGCCTGAGTTTGAGTCCTGGCTCTGACACATATTTTGTAACCTTGGGCAAGACAAAAGCTCTTTGATTTGTGCCTCTGTTTCAATATATATAAAATGAAAATAATAATACACTACCTACTTTATAAGGCTATTGTGAGAAAATTGTCTTTTAAACCTATAAGTGCTAATATGTAAATTTAATAAATTTCAATGCCATAAAAATAATGCATTTCTAAGAGAACTGCTGTGAAAGGCAACACTCATCTGGAGGTATACATTTAAGTATATTTGTTAAAAAAAAATCAGTTAAATCTTTATAGTAACATAACATAGTAAATTCTTTAAGACAGATTATAAAAAAGAAAAAAAACCTACTATATACAAATATATAAGACTTGTAGACGAGGTGTAAAGAATTTTTACTTTTATGGATTTGGTACCAAACTTTAATTTTATGTCTAGTCAACATCTGAGCCAAACTTTTGAAGCTTTCTGATTCTATGAAGTAATATAACCATTGTTATATGAGAGGAGGCCAAAGGAAAAAACAAAACAAACACTCCCCTAACCCCACCCCAACTAAACGCAGATAGAAAATGGTTCATGCATTTTAAAGATAAATGTTTTATGCAACATTAGCTCACAAGGTAAATCTACTAATGCCAGTGATATCACACCTCAAGTAAGCAGAAATAATAATTCTTAAAGAGAAAAGTAACTTTGAAATTATAAGCAACATGGAATTAATTAGTCTCCTTCAAAGTCATTGTTATATTTCAGATCCAAACATGGATATAACAAACTTTTAATAGATTTGGCAGTACTTTCTTTCTTAACTTCAACACTTAGAATATGCTCATATTAAAAGAACTACAGAGCTAAATTTGAGATTTAAAATGTTAATATTAAAATATTATTAATATTCAAACATAATTTTAATATAACTATTAATGCTGAAATATTAATGTGAAAATGAAGACATCTAAAATATTTTTCTTGTGTCCTTTGATTTCCTGGATCTGTTTTGGGTTGGATTTGAGCGTGATACAATTATAAGTTAAAATTATTAAGAAGAGTTATTTACTTTACCATCTGGCCTCCTCCCTATCCTATAATCCACCCAAATCGCAAGACAGCTCAGATCTGTCTTGAGGATTGGCATAATATTCTCTTTGTCTCCAGTATAACAAATCTGATGGGGGTAAGTTCAACATTTGCAAAGTATAAAATCTACAAACTTTGGTTGAAAGCCTAGACCAAATAAAAAAGAAGTCTTATTACTCTTAGACTAACAATTTCAGAATTGGAAGGGCACTAGAAGCTAAGTAGTCTAGTGGTATCAAGTTCAAACAGAAATGGAGGCCATTAAGCCACACACAAGGAACACGGCAGCTGCAAGCTTACTTGAGTTTTTTTTTTTCTTTTCTTTTTTTTAAAAAGGCAATTGAGGTTAAGTGACTTGCCCAGGGTCACACAGCTAGTAAGTGTCAAGTGTTTGGTCTGAAGCTGGATTTGAACTTGGGTACCCCTGACTTCAGGGTCAGTGCTCTATCCACTGCGCCACCTAGCTGCCCCTTACTTGGCTTTAAAACGTAATATTATCTATGTTCTTTGCATTTTTATCTATTTTGTTAAATATTTTCCAGTTACATTTTAATCCGCTGAGGGCTGCAATTGTTTGACACCTCTGATACAGTCAAACTGGTATGAAGAAAGATTCTCCTCTATGACATATTCAACTGAAGACCACCAGTGATGGGTTACCCACGACTGCCCAAAGCAAGAGGTTCCATTTTTGGACAGTTACAGCTGGTATAGTTTTTTCCTGAAGTTACTTCAATAGTAAATTCTTACCAGGTTAAGGAAAGAGTAGTTTCAAGGAACTTCAAAGTAAAATAGGTAAAAACAGAATTGAACTGACAGTCTAGGAAACTAGGTTTGAGGTCACTCTGTCACTAATTCATTGGGTGACACCAAGGAAGTATTTGAGAAAACTGAAGCAAGTCATTTGACTTCTCTGGTTTTCAGTTTCTTCAATGAAAAATAAGGGGCCTGACTCAGATGCTCTCTAGTGGTCCCTCTTTCAACTCTAATATTCCAAGATTCAAATTTTCCCTCAAATGAAGGTCCAGTATTTATATTCCATTTTCCAAATCACATAATGGGAAAATCTATTACAATCACTAGGCAAATTTTGATCACGACCTTTATCATTCTTATCTCACATTTATGTAGTGAGTTGTGCAAAGAAACGTCTTCAAAATAATTGAGGCAGACATAACTCAGCATTTATGCATGCCAATAAAATATACCTAAGTGGTATAAAACAGGTACACGACATTTTTCTGAAGTGAAGCCCACCATTAATGATTATGAACTTGTAATCTCTCCAGTGAAAGAACAAAATGCATCACTTTATATTTTCAGTGCAATTAATTTTCAAGGATTTCTTAGATATTTGCTGACCATTAAAATGTTCATTTTTTTGCATGCAACAATTCATTTACATAAGAATATTCTTAAGATAAAGTACTACCACCCATTTTTATTATTTTCACCCTACCCTAGTAGGATCACGACGAAAAGAAATTAAAGAAAAAATATAACATGCTTCACACTGGCATAATTAAAGGCTGACTTCACATTTCTGAAACTCTGTAAGTTAACAGCACAATTAATACTATTTTCTTGATCAGTCCACTGAGAGTCCCTGACTGAGGAAAATATAATCTAGAGATAGGACAGTGAATACAGACAGTATTAATTTCCAGTAATTCAGTATTCATTTACACCCCTACTAACCAACAGTCTCATAGTCTTAGTAGTACAGCACAAAGTCTGTATTTTCAAAAATGATTTGGAGTGATTTTTTTAAGTTAAATTTAAATGTTTTGGGCATCCAGAAAATTTTCTCAATTGTCTAAAACTCCTAGAACTATACCAACTTCTCATTCTAAAACCAAGTGCTCACTCCACTGTTCTTTGCTGATAAAAAGGAATTCTGTTTTCTTTCAAGAACAGTCTAGTAAACTTCTCCACTGAAAGCTTCTCTTGGTCTCAAATGGACAGCAGCTCTCTCATTAGATCAGACTTAAAATATGAAGCTGATTTTCTAATCTCTAGTTAAAGGATCTTGCTTTGTAGATGGTCAGCACTACACATTCATTATCAGATTTCCATGCCAAGCATATGGCCCAAATGATTTCCAGTGACTTTTGCTAAAAGTCCTTTTTCATTAAATATTTAACTACCAAATAAAATGAGCCAAAAAAAAGAGACCAAGATCGTAGGACAGATATCTCTTGAAGGCTCTCTGAAAAGGATTTCAAAACTCCTCCAGTCAATAATCTTTAAATAATAAAAATGATTTAAGTATAGCAATTTTGGAAAGAATAACTAGATCTTAATTCTATGCTCTGTATAATGGCACACTGTCCACTGAGAATATAATAGGTAGGTTTTTTTTTTTTTTAAATTCTGTATAATAGTATCATTATAGCCCCTAAAATCTCATGGCAATATACTTACAATCTGAAGTGTACTCCACCTGTCCCGACTGCACAGCTGTCCCATCTGCTGCCTGAGGGGTAGATGCACTACTATCAGCTTGGGCTTTACGAACAAGCGCTGCAAGAGGGTGATCAGGATCCACCACTTTCAAAGGCTATAGATAAAACGGCAGTATTCAACATTTACCACCTTTTAAGCCATACATAAAAAATTTGTAACCTCTCAACTTTGGAGTATAACAAATTTAATTCTTTCTCAATTCTTAGTTCAGAAAACCTTGCAATTACTATGCTTCTACTAGGGACTTTGGGGAACATCTCATAATCCTCCTTTCCTGAAATGATATTTTTTTTTGGAAAACAAGTCACTTAAGAGCAATTATATGTCAAAAATTTTATCCAGAGTTAGAAAAGAATTCAGTTAACACCAAAGTGGCTCTAAATTTATCAAGGCATATATAAGCACTGATAAAATTTTTGACAATAAAAAAGGTTGAAACATCCATTTAAGGGAACCAATCACTTTACTGTTCCTTCAAGGAGATGCTGAATTTTTAATTATTCAGAATTTTAAAAGTATCATCAGTAAAAGATGAACAAGGGTTATACATTCTCTGGGTGTGTGCCATGTTGGCTTACTAGAAACCATATGCCTAAGTATGTCTGATGAATTTCTGTTTTTTTCAGGTTATGGCCGGCAGACTGCCTGGTCTGAATTCTGGGCAAGATAATTCCAGTGACTTCTTTATGACTGGGCAGAGAAAAAGAACAGATTCTTGACTGAAGCAGAACAGGAGAGACAAAAAAAAAGAACGATGTTCCTACATCCTCTCCTGTCTTTCAGCCACCTGACTATCTTAAGCACTAAGTCTAGCAATAGCCACAAAGATTTAGAAACAAATGGTCAGCCTCAAGTATCATTAGGTATTATGCATGCATTAATTATACCATGCATGAATCTAGTACATTTCTGCTTCTGTCAAACTGGCCATTCTAACTACATTATACTAAAATGATTAAACTAAGGCCAAAGTAAGTTTAGTCAAATATTCTGCAACTCCTAGAACATTTAAGTTCAATCAATACCAAGAAAAAGCTTATATTTTCTAAACTCAATCTGCAGTGGGACTGGAGTACTTTGAAAGGCAGTACAGCTTCCTGAAACTTAATTTAAGTCACAAAAGAGCATGTATAATAAAAAGACTTGTAAGACTTAACTTAGGAAGCTTTAATATGAGCAATAGGCAGCAGAAAAAGAAAAAAGCTTGGATATAATATTTAAAATGTGCTACATATAATATGAAATATTTAAGAAAAGAACTCTATACCACCAAGCAAATTAGGCAACAATCACCAAAACTAGAAGCTAAAGAAAATGGATAGTTCTACTGCTATTATTACATTAGTATTAATGTTAGTATTTGATTTAGTTAAATTATCAAGTGTCCTGATAATTTTGTAATGACATTAACAAAAATATAGTTCAAGATTAAGATAAAAACCTTCATAAGCTCTTCAAGTCGACTGCACTTTTTGGAAGCAAAGAGTGATGGATGCAGGTAATTACCATCATCGTCGTCATCATCATCATCATCTGAGTTGGCCCCTGAATCTAAGTCAAAAATATATTTTTAGAATTTGAAGGAAAGTTCAAGGAAAGTAAAAGTTCTAGCAAAATGCAGATGAACTAAATAGCTTATAAAGATACAGTTATGAATACTTCCCAATTGGTTATATAAAATTCATTTGGGAGTTATTCCCTATTAACCTACTGTTAAGCCATCTCCTACTTAAAATTGACTTATATCATTGGACTATGGACCCAAGGAATCAAATGATTCCCTTCATCTACAGATATCCTCTACAGGCTAAGCTTTTTTTATTTCAATCTGATTTAACCTTTATAAAGATGGGAGGAAAGGAAAGAAAAACGGTTTAATTTGCTCCATTTCCACTGGGGAAGGCCCTGATTAAAGAACTAACAAGGACTACCTGGAGTTTATAAGATAAAGCCTTAATTTATTTAAAACAACAACAACAAAACAAACAAACAAAAAAACCAACTCAGAAATGAGAATCATTTCTCTTTTCTATATAATGCAGAACCCCAAATGTGCTCCAACTTACAGTAAAGTTGCCTGGGGTACCATAAAGTTAAGCTAGTTGTCCAGGGTCATAAACAAGGGAAGTATCAGGGAGAAAGAGTGCAAAGGCCATTACTCTGACTCTAAGGCTGGCCCTCTACCCACAATTACGTAAGTACCTCAGAGGTAATCTTGTCTAACTTATACCTGAGAAGGAATCCCCTCTACAACATCCCTGACAAATGGTCATTCAGCCTCTGCTCAAAGACCTCCAGTGAGGGAAAACTTACTACCTACAAAAGTAGTCCCCATTCTATTTAGAGACAGTTCTCTTTGTTAGTAACCTCTTTTTCATATTAATTTGAAATTTGTGTTCCTGCAGCTTTCACTCAGTGGTGAGGGAATTAGGATAACAAGTGATTAATTGTAGTGTGAACCATGACTCCATCTTATGACTCAATTCTGGAGCTAGCTCAGTTCCTTTTCTATTAAATTATGGGTCCAGTCCAACTTCTTTCTTGGGAAAAAAACTTTATTCAATTGTGGGAATTGGGAGAAAACCTTATTGTATTGTTTGAATCTAGCCTTGCGTGTCTAGGAAGCTGGACCACCTCTACCTGCTGCTTAGAGATCCTTAATTAAGGACCTATGTTATGCTGACCAGAAATCCAGTCAAATCCCAAGACTGATGCAAGCAGTTTTTCCACAATTATGTGTCTCAAGCAACCCGTATGTTTTATCTGAAAACTGATCTGTACTGATCAGTTACTGATCAGTTCCATGTTCCTCTGACTATTCACAGACACTTGGGGGAAATGGGACAACTCTTCTTCTGATTTCAGGGACTGTACCTGTTCACTCTCACCTGCGTAACTTGGAAAATCCCTAATCTTTTCTCCAATTACAAATCAGATTACCTAATGTTATATCTTGGTTAAGTGGCCTTAATTGTTTTTAATGTATAAAAATCTGTCTCCTTCTGTAATCAGGGTCCAGTGCCAAAGCTAAGGAAGCTGACTGGTCCTGATTTGTTGGGCAGTTGTCATGCAATGTTTAATAAATCAGTAAGTTTGAAAACTCAAACCTTTGTTTCCTCAGTAATTTCACCTTTCACCCACTACACTAAAAACCATTCAGTTGTCTGGGACTGAATGAAGTCAAGAAATTGAGCAAAAGAAAACCAAAGTGATTTGGAGCTAATCAAGCCAACAACCAGGACAGGGATCAGGAAAGTACAGTCAATGGGTGGGTCAGTGATAACAGAATGAAAAACTGGTGCATGGCCAGGCATCTAGAAAAGATCCTAATGGAGGGAAATTTGTTTAAGGAACAAGAAGCACCCAGTGTTGGAGTGTCTGAGAGCTCTTCGGTGGGCTGCTCCTGCTGGAATTTGGAGGTTTGTCCCTGGAACACAAGCATTACTCCAAGGACTGGTGATTTTGTCAGTGTTGGCACACTTCTGACTGAAGAGATTACAACCTCTCTGCAACAGACTGTCTTTAAGATTTGCTGTGACTGTCACTCTGAGGCCCACCTGAGGAGTCTCTCTGAACTTGAGGAAATTATCTTAGGTAGGGTTAAAGTCTTTCAAGTTTAGAGGTGTGGTCTTTTTGCAGAGCCTTTGAGAACCCTTCGTCACCTCCATGACATGAGGAGGTCTTAGAATAGGATTTTACTGGATCTGGTTTACAGAAATAAATTAGGCCAATTTCAAATTCACTTCATAATTTCTGATAATCATATTTAGGCTCCAGACCCAGTAGAATACAAATGTCTATAGTAAGAAGGTGTAAGAAATTGGGAGAGTGTGTGAGAGGCACAACACACCATGGTGGAATGTGCTATGATAAGATTCTGTGCTCTAATGAGATAACAGCACATTCCAGCTGAAGAACTCATCTTAAAACAGTGTTTAGAGAAACTAGGTCCTATACAATTTTTTCAAATTACCAAGATTTCTGTAGATTGCTCTGAATTTTTATTTAAAATAAAGTTAGTTGGCTCTCATAGCAAGAATTCCAAATCCAACATATTCTAAAACCAAGTAAACACAAATATAAACCAGAAAGATAATAAATCAAATAAATCTCATTAAGTTTTGAGGATTTTTAAATTTAATTCCACAATTCAAATAATGGCATAAATTCAATGCTACACACACACACACACACTCACTCACGTACATGTGTGTAATTTCCTTGTCCAAGTCTGTAATTTTATCTTCATCAATGTAGGAAGCTATGTGTGAGCAAATTTCCTGGGCTAATGCAGAACCCCAAATGTGCTCTAACTTACAGTAAAGTTGCCTGGGGTACCATAAAGTTAAGCAACTTGTCCAGGGTCATAAACAAGGGAAGTATCAGGCAGAAAGAGTACAAAGGCCATTACTCTGACTCTAAGGCTGGCCCTCTACCCACAATTACGTAAGATTCAATTTTTTCAGTCGGTGTCACTAGACAATGCTATGTAGTTACAATGGAGAGAGAAGCAAATTGTTACAACCTTTTTATTTTCTGATAGAAATTGATTTTGCATCAGTATATTTCATCAAATTTTAAGTTACTGTTGCATGCCAAATTCATTTTATGACTCAATGTGAAAATAAACACTATGGATGAAATGAAGAGTTCAATGTCATTTCTTACTGGCATATTTAGGATACACAGGTATCATAAAGCAATGGTTTATAAAGTGGGGGTTCATGGTGGGATCCCAAAGGAGTGTATAATCAACCAATCAGAGGGTGGGAACATGGATTACATTCCATCCTCCCCATGATGATAAATCATGGGTCTCACTGCTACCACAACTATACCTACCCTTATCCCCCAACACTTCTCAAATTTGCCCCTTCTCTCCCAATCTGAACTGTGTAGACTTCTGAGGGCAATTATAATTTAACTGAGGCACTCACATCAGCAGGAACTTTTGGGAAAATTCATGTCCACACGACATGCTGGGCCGCCACAATAACAATAGCCAGCATTTACATAGCACTGAGTATGTTGTTTCATTTGACCCTCACAATAACCCTGGGAGAAGAGTGTAATCATCATACCCTCTTTACACACCAGGAAACAGGCTGAGTGAGGTGAAGGGACTCCACCCCCCACCCCCCGTCCCCGTCCTCCAGATGGTTCCAAGCCCAATACTCTGTCCACTGTTACCTACTGCCTGGGATCACTGCATGGACCCATGGTCCCACCAGCTGAAGGGCAAGATCTGGCTCAGGGGCAGTAGCCCTGAATCCTCTCTGTTCATTTTGTCACCCAGTACAAGCAGGCATGGATGGGGCTGTGAACTGCACCCCATATCTCATGTCATTTCCCCCCCAACACAACACTGTTCCAAACTTCACTCTTGCTTTTGAGGTTTCTGTCACGCTTTCAAGTACCCCAACTTCATCGCCATGGTGTCATCTATGACCCTTCACTCCATGTACTGGTTGTTCAATCCTGTCATTTCTATCTCCATCTCTCAAACAGGTTTTCTTCTCTCCACCCATATGACCATCACCCCAGTTCCCATCTCTCACCAAATTTGATCTCCCTGCCTCAAGCCGCCCCTATCCAATCCTTCCCTCATAAAGCTGCCAAAGCGACCTTCTTTTTTTCTTTGTGTGTGTGAGGCAATTGGGATTAAGTGACTTACCCAGGGTCACACAGCTAGTAAGTGTCATGTGTCTGAGACTGGATTTGAACTCATGTCCTCCTGACTCCAAGCCCAGAGCTCTATCCACTGTGCCACCTAGTTGGCCCCCAAAGTGATATTCTTAAAACACAGATCTAACCATGCTACTCCATTCCTCAAACTCCAATGGCTCTTTATCACATCTACGATCAAATATTCTTTAATCTTTATTTTAACCCTTTTAAATATTTATTTTGTGTAAGTTTTGTAATGTACAATTAGTACAGCAATATAAGTATAGCTTGTAAATAAGTAAATGTACACATCCTGAAGAAACTGCTCAAGTTTCTTAGTAATGGAGTGTACAATAAAGAAATACGGAGAACACTATCCTAAAGGAACACAGTAGACAGTTCAATCCGTGGAGCTTTGAAATGTCTTTCTTTTTTTTTTTTGTCAGTTACAAAACTCAAACTGGTCAGCAGTGTCTAACTGTCAGTCTAGAGCTCAGAAAGAAAACAAAAGGAGGCATACGTACTTCTCTTCTCTTCTCCTTTGTTCTCCGTCAGAACAGTATATCGCCCTTCCTTCATTGCCTTCTGGATGTGTTTATAGTAAGGGTTGAGGTAGTGATCAAAGCGCAAAAAATCAAACTGGGAATTGCGGGCCTGCTTGGCTTTCAGCATGATCTCAAACTGAGCCCCCTGCTTGCAGACAAAGTTGGCGGTGCGCTCGATGATGGCGTGCATCTTGGCCGTTGGTGGCTACAAGAAAAACGAGCCCCCTCACATGTGTGGTCAGCACAAGTCTAGCGGCATACCAGCAGAGCCAGCCCCTTGTGACAAGGCCTGCACCTACCTACTTGTTTCCCACCGAGCCACCAGGGACGTTTGGCCCTGGGGTTCACGGATGTGCAACAAGAAGGGCACACTTTCTGTTAATGCTCTTGCACTGTCCCCTCACTGAGCAGGCTTTTAATAAATGTTTGCTGAGTTAAAGACAGAAAATACTTCATTGAATATAATTTAAATCTATACATTTAATACGCTCCCCAAAATGAAATTACAGGCAATCCTCATTAAAACTAGGAAGTCGAGAAGCTTGCTGTAATTTCATTGTTCAGATACTTCATAAAAATAAACAAGTTTCGTTTCTGAATTTTATTTCTGAACTAATCTCAAGTTTTGTACTTAAAAAGGATAAATGCCTACAATTAAAGTTATTTACTGACCCCTAAATAAATTAGTTTTCATGTTTATGGTCTATCATATTTATTTCTATGTATTTCAGCACTAAAACAGATATTGATGTAGACTTTCACTGAGCCTGATGAAACACCATAAGACTAATTTAGATCTTTTGGAATAACAGGCTTTCTCTCTCTTAAAAACAATCACATTCAGATAATGTCCATTACTTTTTCTAGTAAAGTCTGCCTCTGCTGACCAAGATTTTTGCATTAATCATAAACTTCTTGAAATCAGACATTTTTATGATGATATTGTGCCTAGAGTGCTAGAAATAATGATAGTATTACAAAACAGCTAGTATAAAAAGAAAAATGGGAAGAATGTTTATTAACACGCTGTCAGTTCTGTCAAATACCAGATTAAGACAGTGTATTCTAAAAGAAAATTCAAAAGCAGGAGTCCTGAATTATAATATTAGCACTGTTTTTCTCTGATCTGGACACGCTATGACTACCCACAGCTATATTACCTTTTTTCCTTTAAAAGAACAACAGCATTTTAGAGCTAGAAGGGACTTTTGAGATCATCTAATTTAATCTCCTTATTTTATAGGTAAAGACATTACAAAAGCAGAAGTCTTGAATTGCAGTTATGGTGTTGGTGTTATTTTTCTCAGATGTGGTCACACAACGACTACATATAACTACAATTACCCTTTTTAGAGAAAAATCATAGTATTTTAGAGCTGGGACTTTTGAGATCATCTAATCTAACCGTCTCATATCACAGGTGAAGAAACTGAGGCCCAACCAAGGAAGCTTTCGCTCAAGGTCACAGAAATAGTAGTAGAACTTTGTCTAGAACCCAGGTCTCCTGACTCCTACCATAGCATTTTTCCTATTTTACAGACACAATAATTTCTTTAATGACAGATTTTATTTATGGGTAACTTTGATTTTGAGAGGGTGTGGGAAAGGGGGTGAGACTGGATCTCCCTATTTCAACTAGACTAAAATGCTGCGGCCACTTACAGGCCCAATTCCACTAGTGAATGGAATGGAACGGAAGCTTAGACCGGCTGCTTCTGATCTGGACTGGTTCACCCCTCCTTAGGCAGCCTAGTGGCACCCTATTCTCATGGAATACCATCCTGGTACCAGACTTAGTCTGACTGCTACTCAACAGTCCTAAGGCACATGGGCTCCCCCAGTCTCAGCTTCCTCTAGGAGCAGATACTGGAGGCAAAAGCCACCATGCCCAGCGATTACTTTGATTTGAAGCAAAGGCTTCATGTACAAGGCCCAAAAAGCTCTAAACCAGACTGCATGTGCCAGGGCAAGCAGGAATCTAATAATAAGAGCAGACAATCAACTAACAGCTTACAAGTTTGAAAGATGACTAAGGAACATTAATGTGATTCTTAATAACTCCTCCTCAAAATCTTTTTTGCAGCTCTACGTAGTGTAAGGGGATCTACGGTAGAAACTGACAAGTTCAAATAAGAGTAATATTTACACTTAGTACAGAAAATTGCAGCCTGTTTTGGTGAAGAGTATGGAAGTGGCTGTGGGAACTATTTTGATATTTCTCAAAAGTATAAAGAAAGATCAAATGGCAACAAGTACCAGGTTCATTTTGAGTAAGAAAATTCTTCCATTTATAATTCCCAAGGCACTGCCATATTGCATATGGTACTAGATGATAACTTACTACATAGGAGGTATGTGTTGAGGACACAAACAGAAAAACAATACTCTTTGCCCTCAAGGAGCTTACAATTTAATGGGATTAAAAGTGGTTGGAAAAGAACCCACAAAATGATACGAAGCAGAAGGTAAAAAATACAACAGAGGGATTTGAAATGTTTTGGGGAAGGAGAGGGATCAGGGGAGAGCTGACACCTGACTAAGGTGGGATTTAAGCACAGAGGGGACTAGAATGTAGAGTAGGTGGAAAGGAGTAGGTGACAAGAGCAAGAAGGGGAGGGAAGAGACAGTGCTGAGCAGGACCCTGAGTAGCAGGACAAGGAGTTTCTACCGTATTTGGCAGCCCATACTCCTATGTAACCTTTTACAAACTCCATAAAGTGATTTTGGAAAAGTCAATTTTAACATGCCCTCAATTGAAAAGGAGCAGTTTAATGGAAAGAATTTTGTTTAGGAAGAGTGTTAACAATGCACTAGTATGGAGTCTTAACCTTATCACTAACCAGTTGGGGTACAGAAGTTATGACTCAGTTTTTTCCATATGTAAAACAGGAAGCCAATCTACTTACAGGGATATTGAGATTTTGTAGAGTACAAGTGCTTTACAAATACATGTACGAGGGGTTGTGAAAAAACAGGTGTGTTAGTATGCTGTGAACTGGCCAAGTTAGGTTGGAAAAAAATTTGGAAGTATGCCCCTGAAGTCACAAAATGATGCTTACTCTTTCACTTAGTAAAACCAAGCACAGGCAGGCCTACACATGAATAAGATCAAAGAAAAGAATCTGAATGTACAAAAGTATTTACAGTAGATCTTTCTGTGGTGGCAAAGAGCTAGAAACCAAGAAGATGTCTATAAACGGGGGAGTGGCTGCACCAGACATAGGAGATGGGCTGCAGAGAATACCACTGCAATGAATGATGAAATAGACAGTTTCAGAGAAATGTGGGAAGACGTGCATGAACTAATGCAGTTTGTGTAAGAAGAGCTAGGAGATCAATTTATAAAAATAACACTCTAAAAATGAACCAATTTTGAAAGACTTACCAACTCCTATCAATGCAATGACCAACTGAACACTACTAACATCCTCATGTAGAGGTTTTCAGACTAAATATTCAGAATAAAACACAATTTTGTACATGGAAATGTGAGGATTGGTTTTGCTTGACTGGGCATATTATTAAAAGGTGTTTTTCCCCCTTTCTCCAATCTGCCTCCTCCCCCAATCCCAAAGAACTGGGGTGGGAAAGAAAATAAATGCTTATTAATTTAAAAAATAAAATTTTAACTAAAAAAAGTATAGGGTAAAATTATCTATGAAAATCTACAAAGGGCTACCTGGGACATGTCAGAACATAAACACACTCACTTGAAAATCTAATCAGGGTTTTGGTGCTAGACATAAAATGTGGCCCTGAGTTAAATCAAGTTATTCTGCTGCAATTTGTTATTTTGTTTCTCCAGTGGAAAATAATGAAAATAATTAATTTCCTTTCCTAAACTCAGACTTTTTTTGCAAGCACTCATGCAAAGAGTCTAGAGTCCTTAAACAAGTATTGTGAAAATATTGTTTGTGAGACAGAAGTTCACATACCAGTTCCACATCAGAAGGCACGTTCAATCCTAAAGGGGCAATGAAAGGTTCTTCATTTTCCTCTGCATTTTCTGCCTCAATTTTTTCAACTGCAAAAAGACAGTAAATATGAATCAATCTAAAACAACGAATGGAAATTCAATAAACAACATAAACCAACAGAGCCGCAATTCACGGCCCACAATACTTCTTAAAACAGCTTCCAATTTTCTTTTACATCATACATAAAATCATCAACAACTAAAAACACACCCAAAGTGATTGTTGAGAAATCAAAATAAATAAATAAATAAATAAGTAAGTAAATAAATAAAAAAAACACACCCAAACAAACCTTGCCACTGGTGGACTCTTTAAATGATCCCACTAAGGTTTTCTACAAAATAAAACTTCAGAGGTTTAAAGCTAAAGTTTATTATAAAACTACAAATGGAGAAAGAAAAGAGATTAGCCTCATCTTCCTATGTTGGACCCGTTCCCTTATTACTTACATTGACTCCTCTCTCTTTAGAACCCATTCTTCCTCTCTAAAAACCCCAATGCTCAAAGTCCCATCTATTCTATGAAACTGCCCCTACCTATGGTATCCTATACTAATCTCTACCTTCTCTGAACTCCTGTAGCATAATCTGAAACAAAGAATTCAGCATTTTCTATATATTGTTGTATATGGTTCTCTGTTGTACATGTTTTGGCCAGGTCTCATTAGTTAGGCTGTAAAGCAGTGTGACTTTACAGTTTTTATGTGTATCCAGCAGTACAAGGCAGATAGCAGGTACTTAATATGTACTGAATGGCTGTCTTATTTATGTTAAAAGATCATTTGGAGTAACCACCCAAATACTTCTCTATCTATGGAGTTGTGCTTCTCCCACCAAAATTAAAATGTATTTTGTTTTGTTTCAAGCATTTACTGTACAAGCATTTTTATGCTTCTGTACATGCTAGACACTGTGCTGGGCCCTGGGGATACAGAACTTAAAAACTTGAACAGTTCTGGGCCTCAAGGAGCTTATGTTCTACTACATTTACTTAAGGTCATTATATACAGGCTCTGCATTGTTTTTCAACTTCTCAATACGCACCAGGCAAGAGGCTTTTTGCAAAAGGGTGTGGTCTAAAAATATGTATAAAAATATGAAAGAAAAGCTATTTCTGAAGTCAACAACTTTTACCAAAATATGCTACTTTTTAAGTAGGTGCACGTAGGACAACTTCATACACATGTACAAATATTTTTGTGTTATTACTCTATAAATAAAACATATACTCAAAGCATACACGGGGAAGTCTCTCTAGAAAATCATTTGTACTGGACAAGGAGGCTGGCCTTAGAGTCAAGAAGAGGTTCTAGTCTGGCCTTTTTACTAAATCTCTTAGTGTCACCGGCCATTAAGACTAAGTTAGTGACAAGCTGCTGATCTTCCTGTTGGAAAAGTCTCCAAATGACACACAGGTCAAAGGCAATGGACACCCCCACCCTTCCCAATTCCAAGACATTCATGAAGGAACCATCTTTGGCTGTTTGATATTGCACTATTTTATCTGGTTTGCTACCTATATTGGAGAGAGGTTAATTTTACAGATGATAATAAAGACACTGGTGGGGACCCTCCCTCCCTGCCTCATTTCATTTTTCCCATTTGTTTCACATTGATGTTTCTAAGTCTCTCTCCTAGGATAATGAGTTAAAGAAGAAATGAAGCATATGGAAATGCCTGGCACTTTCTGGAGGCAGGGTGCTATAGTAAAACCTTGCCTAACAAAACCTCAGGGAATAAGATGCTTTGGAAATATGAGTTTCCCAGATAAGTGAGGGTTTAACTGTCTTAAAATATAAGAACTATACATTTTCCATCATTTTAGTAAAATCATACACTCTACTCAGACCTAACCAATAAACCTTTTTTTTTTTTTTGATGACTCAAGGCCATTATTGTAAACATCAATTATTAATTATACTGGGTTATTTTTTTTTAATAAAGTGATGTCCTCAGGGCCAACTGAGATATGTATTATTTGTCCCGTGATGCCAGAATACTGAGCCTTTTAAGTTTTTAGAGGTTTTAAAAAATCTACTTATTCGTCACTAGAATGACAAATTTTTACTACTGTCATTGTGCCTACATCCCCTTTTCTTGATAATTTTCTACCTCTATTAAGTTGTGAGTTTGGAAACCAAATATCCAAGGTTGTATGTAACTGTATATAACCTTAAGAGTAAATCAGCCCTTAGGGCCTCAACTATGCGTAAAGCACATGGGCTATATGACATTTATTTTGGCTATCCAGAGACTTTTTTTCAATTCCTTCCTGGTTCTGGAATAGTTAGGTTGACAGATGAGTTTCACTTAAATAAGGTGTCCAAGATAGTGTGGTATCCATTATATTTAAAACTGAAAGGTTTTTGAGTGATGAGTATATAGAAAACTATAAACAATAAACCTTCAGATTTAATAAAGCATAATTTTAAAATAATATAAAATACATACTTTGGGTATTAACAAAATTTACAAGGAACCTGCTACTCCTATTTCTGCAAAAGCAGACTTCAGAAGTTACGTTTAGATAAATCAATTCAAGGCAGGGATTTAGCTTTAAAGATGTTCCCAAAGCACATCTGTTTCCTTCAAGTAGCTCTGAAAACCTTACAAATGCCCATTTTAAGTTGATGTAACATGCTTTTGGACTTTTAATCTAGTAACATCAGGTACTGATAAAAAACTATATTAGTGATGTCAAATAGAAACAGATCCCTATAGCCCCCAACTCAGAAAACCTCCAACTAATATTATTTATGTCAAATTGTATTTTTATCTTGTTAAACATTTTCCAATTACATTTTAATCGGGTTTGGGCCACCAGGCTGACACCTCTGCTCCACGTGATATCAAGCCCATTGACACCCCTTTGAAATGTCAGTATAAGAAACATTAATCAAGTACCAACTATATCCAGAACATTGTGGTAAGCACTGGGTAGCGGTGGGGGAGGAGTCAGGTTTAAATGAAACATGGTCCCTATGGATCCCCATGGATGTCACAAACTGGTAGGAGGACAAGATGAATGCAGCTGGCAATAATACACAATATTATATGCTAAGTTCATCACAGAGATTCAAAGTGGTCTGAGACTGAGGGCGTCCCATGAGTCTCTGTCCCAGCACTCTTCTCTCTTTACAATCTCCGCTGGTGACCTCACTGGAAGCTCCCAGGGGTTATAATTATCTCATCGACTCCCAGATGTCTATTTACAGCCCAAGTCTCTCTCTCCTGAGCTCTACCTAGACTTGCCTCATCAACTATTCGACATTTTGAACTGGAAGTGCCATAGACATCTGAAATGTAACATGTCCATAACAGAACTTATTATCTTCCATCTCAAACCCACTTCCTTTCCATTTTTTTTATTTCTGTTGAGGGCACCACCATCCTTTCAGTTTTCTTGTTCTGCAACCTTGGAGTCATTCTTAACTTCTACCCTTCCTCATTCAACATATTCAATCAGTTGCCACATCCTGCAATTTTTACCTCCCGCAATCTCTTGTCTCTGGTCCTTTCTATCCCTTCACACAGCCATCAGCCTAGTTCAGGCTTACATCACCAGGACTTCTGCAATAGCCTAATAATTAGCCCCCTTGCCTCAAGTCCTTTTCTTCTCCTATCCATCCTCTACAGAGCTGCCAAAATGATTTTCCTATGGTACTGATCTGATCTCCCTTGCTCAACAAACTCTGGTGGTTTCCTATATATCTAGGTTCAAACACAAAGTTCTCTGTTTGGTTTTCAAAGTCCTGCAAAACTTGGCTCTAACCTACTCCTTCTGATTGGAGATGGTGGAGGATGGTCACTGGAGTTCCTCCCTAAACCTCTTAAAGAGGGCAATTAGACATTTCATCTCATTATTTCAGGTGGCTAAAGAGGGCACATTGAAGAGGTTTCACGATCTCCAGAAACTCATCATTCATCAGCAAGATGAAATCAACTTTGAAACACTCACCTCCTCAATCATTTTCTCCCCTCCTCCCTCCTCCCCCCTCCCCTTTACAGCTTCTTTTTGTGTGCTGTCTTCCCATCAGATTGTCAGCTCCTAGAGCAGTGCTTAGCACACAGGAGGTGCTTAATAAATGCTTATTGACTTTTTGACTGTCTTCTCTACACACATACTTATGTATGTACGTGTATGTGTATGCGTGTGCACACACACACACAGACACAGACAGACACACATTCAGGAGAATATTTACGTCTGTAGAATGTTAAGTGGCTTGAAGGCAGGGACATTTTTGCCTCTGTATCCCCACAAGGGGATACAATGCCTAGGACACCAAGTAAATACTTTCTGACTGTCTAATCGGAGAAGGATCATGGAGTAGCATCTGCATTGAGCTTTAAAACTTACTTCTACGTCCCTACTGTGTACCTTTAAAACCATTTCTGTGCAGGTTAACGTGGCCATTTTGCCATGCGACATCATTCAGGTACAACTGTTATTAATTCAAACCCCCTCTCATCCCACGTGTCCACCATTACACAATAAAAAATTTAGAGCTGAAAGGGATCTTAGAGGTCATGTGGTCCAACTCCCTTGTTTTGCAGATGAAACTGAGGCCAGCAGAGGCCAAGTGACTTGATCAAAACCACACAGGCAGTAAAAGAAAAAGGCATGATCAGAATCTAGTGCTATTCATTAGGTAATGCACAGAACTCTGAGAGTCAGTATACTCATTTTTTTCCTTGCAATATGCAATGATAAGAACAAACTGATATGGCAACTTGGTTTATTGCAGTGAGCCTGAGAGAAATTCTAATTGAGTAATGTCCTATTTCTGAACTCTTTCTTTTATCAGAAGAGAAGATGCTGCCATTTGCTCTCTATTTTTTTTTTTTAGGCACTTGGGGTTAAGTGACTTGCCCAGGGTCACACAGTTAGTAAGCGTCAAGCGTTTGGTCTGAGGCCGGATTTGAATTCAAGTCCTCCTGACTTCAGGGCCGGTGCTCTATCCGCTGTGCCACCCAGCTGCCCCGCTCTCTAATTATTTTTCACAGGTGTTATGAGGATTTCTTAAAAAGCTGAGCAAGTGCTCCAAGAAATTAGGGGTAACTCTATTGGAGGTAGAGAGATGGCACAGGAGGTAACAGTGCTGGATTTCCAGGCCTCAAGACCTCAGTTCGAATCCAGTCTCAGACACTTACCAGATGGGTGATGCTTGCCACATCACATAATCTCTTCTCAACCTCAGTTTCCTCATTTATAAAATGAAGATGACAGCAGCACCTACCTCCCAGGGTATGGTGAAATGATATATGTGAAGTGCTTTGAAAACTGTAAAGTGCTACATAAATGTTGGTTATTATTACCGCTTATAGTCTAACACAACATATTTAAAAAACCAGTTTTCAAAGACAGAAAAAAGTCATTTTCGTCTTCTTTAATTCTCAACATTTTATTCAATGACCTCTTTCTGTTCTCACCTTTCTGTTTCGAGGGTTCTTCCTCCTCTGTTGGTTCAGAAGGGTCATAATAATCGCTGCCATAAGTAAATCCCACCGCATTATAACTTCCATCCTCTGCCAAGGCTTCGCTCAGTCGCTTGTATTCCTCCTCTTGAACAAAAACATGAGTACTTTATTAACACAAAAGAAATCGACTGAAAGAAACTGCACAAACGTCAAAAGTTGTACTATCAATAAAGCACACAACACTATTTCAACCTCACTTTGAGGTGCAGAATTTATAAGTTCACACATCACTTCTATTAATATGGACTTTCTGCCAGTACATTTTTACCCACAGATAGCAGAATACACATCTTTTGTGGAAAATTTCTTCCTGCTAAGAAAACTTGGGGATTAAGAACTGTCGTAAAGATTGTTAAGGCAAAGACAAGAACATCAAGTTTAATTGATACGATACTGTTAAAGAAGAACAGTTAAAGAGTTTTGTGTTTTTTTTTTTTTTCAAATCCCAGTCTGCCCTCAAAAGCTGGGAAAATTCTTTGTGGCTCTACATATAAACTATCCTGAGGTCCTCTCAGATACGCAAAGACTCCTGTTTTTCCAATCCACTGGGTACTGTCAAGATAATATCAGAAAGAGTGAGTATAAAAAATGAGTGGGAGTAAATTTTTAATACTTAATTTTTAAAAAACAGTTTGTTGCTTAAGTAAGTTTTTCTTGAGCAGTACCTTGCCTTGCCTCCTCCTCAAGCAAGTCCGTATGCAAGGCTAAATACCTCTCTTCATCACACAGGGCATCTATTCGTGCCTCCTCTTCGGAAAGCTGGTAGTCTCTATTCCACGTGGAGTATTCAGCATCATAATCAGAAAGGTCATGCAGGTGACCGCGTCCATCATATCTGTAATATGAACAAACTGGTCAATGCAGAGAAATTAAGATTAAAGTTTTGTGTGCGATTATTTAAAATACTTACCCTTTATAAATAAAGAAATCAAAAATATTTAAAAAACCAAACACAACCACTCATCTCAGATTTATATATAATTTTGCTAGTTACTTCTTGCCTACTGTTAAAATTGAAGTTATCTTAATAAAGTCTAAATCCCTTTCTATGATGATAAAGTTAACAATTAAAGGCAAAGAATCCTTTAATAGTTTAATGGGATCCATGTCAATAATAGTTCTTACCGTTTATGGTTTTGCCAACCATTCAATGTCACTTGCAAAATATTTTTTTTTTTTCTGAAAAGTCAAATACTGTAGCTTACATTCACACAAACCCGAGTACATAAATACCTATCCGAAAGAACCAAACGGTCGAAATTTCCTCGCTTCTTTCTGCTAGTCCCGAACTCTCAGGAGAGATCTTCACCAAAGAAACTTGCGTCCATTGGAGGTAAAATCTTGGCTAGGCTCGTCCCCTAGCCATTTGGCTGAGGAAATAAGTTCTGGGTTATGTGATAGAGAGACACACATACATAGGAACAGTAACATATACATGCAGTTTAAGGAGGTTCACCAGAAATACAACAAAACTATAAGAAGATGCAGTAGAGCTTATTTCTTCTAAACAGATCACCACCTCCCACACCCCCAAGGAAATAGGACACACAAATATATCACCTATATGTTTCGCCTTCACGAACTAATAGGTAAGACTCCAGCTAAACGCAAACTACAGATAGTGTTTTCTGCCATGCAGCTTTTTACACCAAAGTCTCTTAATGGAGCCAACTCTCAGAGATCAATAGGATGAGTGTGTTTGCAAATTTTAAAACACCCAGATTTTTAGGTCTCATAAAGACTCAAATGGCAAACAGAAGTCTGCCCTACTCTTTAATAATGAGTTTGCCACGAATAAAAATGATGAGTTTTTCATCATTTAAGTATTAGAAAATATCTAAACCCAAAGAACAAGAAGACCACAGGTTCATCAATCTAGAGCTGGGAGGGACCTCAGGTCACCCAGTACAACTCCCTCATTTTATAGATGAGGAAACAGTCTCAGGGAGGTTAAGGGACTTGTCCAAAGCTATATGGGTAAGCACCAGAGGCAGGATTTGAATCCAAGTCCTCAGACTCCAGTCAGTAAGGGTTACTGCATTTCTTTTAATTTCAAAATGAATTTTATTTAGATGTAAACCTCCTTAACTTACAAATGTAGATTATTTTAAAAATATTGTACATTCACACGTGTAGAGTTTGCTCCCTAACAATTTTAAAAGACCTACCCCAAATCAAATACAGTATGATGTAAAACTTTATAAAGAATTCCATCTTCATCAATTACCACACATAATAACTGATTTGTAACAAATAATAGCATTGGAAAAAAAAGCTGCCAGACAAGGATGGGCATTATGAAAGAGAAACCACAATTTAATACACAACAAAGTTTTAGCAGAACAATAAACACATCTGATTCTGGTCTGATCTCACTTGTCACATCATCTCCCTTAGGGTGTCCTTGATTTCTAGATTTAACTTCAAACAGAAAAGTTAGAGATGGAAAAGACCCATTGGGTCATTACTGTAGTCCATCCCGGCCAGTTCACAGTTTGTTCCCTACAGTACATTTTCCAGTGCTTTGCAGAATCCAGTTCTAAATGTCTCAAACGATGGGCTTCCTTCCCTTGGAGATACTATTCCATAGTCTAATAGTTGTCACACTGTTAGGTTTTCAATCCAGGCCCAAGAAGTTCTGTTGACAAAACCCTGCTTCAAAACCCCAAAAAGGGGAAGGAAAAGAGGGACAAAGGGGTAGCAAACAATCTACAGCATGTAATGTCATTGTTTTCAAATCAAAGACCTTCAGGCATCACCTTCCCAGGACCCAATTCCCCAAAACTCCAGATAGTGAAGAGCAATACCTTCGGCAGGTTTGATTTGAAAAGAAACAGGGAATTTCCTCCCCACCCCCACCCTTCACTTCATAGTGAAACCATCACTAAGAGCACTACCTCCAGCCAGCAAAGCCCAAGTCTTCAGTAACTACTTAAAAAGAATGCTATCAACTGCCTTTCCATTTAAAGCAAACTTTTCCTCTTCAACTGGGTGTCAAGGCCTCAGGGCACACAAAGAGGGAGCAAGGATCCCAAAACTAAGTACAACTTTCCGGAGGCACAAAGCAATCATCTCCACCATCTCATTACTAGGACCACAGCGCCTTAGAGGACTTCCATCCAAACCCTTCCATTTTTAAAGGGGAAACGGAAGCCGAAAGAAATGAAGGGGAGAACTGAGGCCCAGAAAAGGGGTGAGGAGACAAATGGGGTGGGACAGGGGAATAGAAACTGAATCTCAGAAAAGGACTGGGAGGGGGCAGAAAACTGGGGTCCACAGAAAGAGGAAAGGGAGGAGAGAGAAAGAAACTGGGGGAAGGGGTAAGAGGAGAGAAAGCACGAGAGAGAGCAGAGACTGAGGCACAGCATGTAGTGACTTGCTCAAGGTCACACCGCAAGAGCCAGGAGCCGAGAAGGGCCTTAGCCCCATCTCCAAACCGGCCACTACCCTCACCACATCACCAACTCAGGGAAAAGGGGGAGGGGATACTGGATTCAAGCTGCCGTCTCCAAATCCGCTTTCAAAGGCCGCGACCCTCAACACCAAGGCAACCGACATCCCCTCCCCCCCAAAAAGGAGGCACCCCCTGCCTCATTTAAAAAAGCAAACAACAATCACAACCAAGAGAGCGAGGGAGAGGGAGAGGCCACGGTCCGAGTGACCCCCTCCCCCCAGCCCCCAGGCCCACCCCCACGGGGGGAGAGGCAGGAGGAGAAGGTAGACCAGCTGGCCAGCCGTAGACGTTCCCGAGGCTGGAGGCTCCTCGAGCGCAGGGAAGGGGCTGCCTCAAGCCCTCCTTGCCCGCCCCGGGCGGGCGCTGGACCGGACGGAACCAAGTGAGCGAGAAGAGGGGGGGCTGGGAAGAGAAGGGGGCGCCGTCGGCGGGGGGAAGGGCGGGAAGCGAGAACGGGGAGGGGCGGGAAGGGAGGAGGGGGAGGGGCGGGGAGGCACCGACCTGTCGATGAGGATCTTAGGATCGCCCATCCAGGGGATGAGGTGCTGTCCTTGCTCCAGCGCCAGGGCCCGCTCATCGTCGCGGAAGAGTTTGCAGGCATAGCCGAACACAAGCAGCTCCACGCGGCAGCTCCCGCTGCCTCCTCCGCCGCTGCCTGCACCTCCTCCTCCTCCTCCACCGCCGCCGCCGCCGCCGCCGGGCCCGGGCTCCTCCTTCGCGCCGGTCTTCCGCTCGCCTTTCCCGCGGCCTCCTCCTCCGCCACCGCCGCCTCCTCCGCCACCGCCACCTCCCCCGTACATGGCGGCGGGCACGGCGCCCCCGGCGGCCGCACGGATGCTCCCGCTGTCCCTGCCTTGGCGGTCAAGCCCCGTCAGTCAGAAGCGCCACATCCCGGCCGCAGCCTCAACACCGCCGCCATGGCGGAGGACAAAATGGCGGGAGCGCCATTTCCGGCGGAGGAATGACGGAGCTTCCGGCAGGCGGTGTCTGCGACGTGAAACGCAGATTCGACACGGGCGAGAGGGGGAAATCGCGACCCTGGTGGAGGCGGCTCGGGGGGAAAATCTCATGTGACTGGGGAAAGGCGCGGCAGCGGGGGCTTGGTTTTTATTTTTTATTTTCCCCTTTGTGTCACCTGGCTTTCTGTACGGGTGTCGAAAGTGCGAAAGCGAACGAGGTCTATAGTTGTGGCTCTGTGGAGCAAAGGACTGGAATGGTGCGGGAAGGGGAGGGTGGAAGAGGAAGAGGAGGAAGAAGGCAAGGGGAGGGCCACCTCTGGGGAGAGGAGCGGGGAATCTGCTCAGACTGTCATGCCTGACTCTTTCCATCCCCGTCTTCCGGCCCTTGGGCGAGGCTAGGGGCTGTCGGGTCTGCGGAGCTGGGGATGGGTGGGTACATGGAGGAGTCAATCAGTCCATCCCCCTGCAGGGGATGTTTTCCTTCTTCCTCCCCTTTCCACAGGTTTGTTCCTAGACGATAGCTTTAGAGGTGAAAGAGACCTTAGACATCAGTTAAACCAACTTTGTCATTTTTCATGGAGGGAAATGAATTGCTCAAGGTTGCACAGATAGTGAGAGCAAGTCCAATATCTCTAGCTCAGGCCTCTGACCTATCTGCCCCCCAAGCCAGTTACCTCTCTCCACCGCCCCTTCCCTTCCTTGTCTTCGTGGGTCTTTGGGTTTGCCCAACCTGAAAACTCAGGGAGGAGGCCTTACATTCTGCTCAATACGATAAACATATGAAGCACCTACTATGTGCCAGGCATTGTGCTAAGCTCCTAGCTTTGCCACTGACTCCCTCCAGGACTTGGAGCAAAATCCATCAGAGTAAGGACTGTTAACTTTTTGTCTTTATACCTGTTTCAAAGTACATCATTAATAAGTGCTTGTTATGGGGCAGCTAGATGTAGCAGTGCATAGAGCACTGGCCCTGGAGTCAGGAGGACCTGAGGTCAAATTTGGTCTCAGACACATGATACTCACTAGCTGTATGACCCTGGGCAAGTCACTTAACCCTGATTGCCTCACCAAAAAAACAAAAAAAACAAAATAAGTGCTTGTTGGGTGACTTTTTTGGTGAGTTCATGATGGTTATTTCCATTCCAGTCCAACAAGTAATTGAGTGCCTATTATCTGAGTGTCTCTTGCACCATGGCTTGATTTTGAGTTATAGGCTGCCTGGGCTGAAATGCCCTTCCCTTACTACCATTCTTTGCTCCTCATTGCCATCAATAATACTCTTACCTCTCCTGTGTTCCTATCCTGCTCTTTCTCAAACCTTCCATTTGTGCTTGCTGGAACCCCTGTTCTAGCCCTGTATGGCTTCCCTTCATAATAGACATGTGCCTTTCCTCTGGAAATTACTATGTATATGTTTTTTATTTACTTTTACAGAATATATACATAAACAAATACAAAGATACAATGTAATCTCTTTGAGAGTAGAAACTGTTTGGCTTTGTATCCTCAGCAACTAGCTCAGTATCTGGCACAAGGCAGGTGCTTAATAAATACTTGTTGAATTGAATTACACGACACTGGGCTAAAAATTGGGGGATGGAGGATTGACTAGCGAGACAAAACTGAAAAGTAATGGACCTCAAATTCTGCTTGTGGTATTCAACATGTAACAGATAAGTAAATAGAAGATAAATCTGGAAGGGAGAGAACACTAACAGCTAGGAAGAGCAGGAAGAGCCTCGTGGACATGACTCCTGAGGTGAATCTTGAAGGGAACTAAGGATCCCAAACGATGGAGATGAGATGGAAGTGTCTTTTAGATGTGGGGGATGGTCTGGAGTCAGGGAAGAAATTGCCAACTTTGGGGATAGCTTATGGACCATTTTGGCTAGAAAGTAAAGTGTGTGAAAAGCTGAAATGAGCCTGGAAAGATGATGTGAAGGGCTTAAAGTACAAAGGGTAGTGGTGGTGGTGGTTTGCATTTTATCTCAGAAGCCACCTGTCCTCTTCTGTACTTTTGTAAAATGGAAGGGGTGGTGATGGTGGTGTCTAAGGTTCTTTCCAGCTCCTGTGTTCTGTGATTCATTGATTACTATTCCTTGCATGTGATCATATGAATTTTCTGGTTCAAACCATTTAGTGACTCCCTTTTCTCTCTTGTTCAAACTCCTTTGCCTGTTATTTGAGGCCCTCCACATTATGGTGCAGCCTTATTTTTGAGGCCTATTTTATATCACTTTCTGCCAGCCAAAATGAACATTTCACTGTCCTTCCTTCCACCTCTCTACTGACATGCTATGTGCTTTCATGTCTGGATGGCAGACAAGTAACATGGTGAAATGAAATTTGGAATCAGAAGGCTCAGTTCCAATTCCAGCTGTGCCCAGGATACCTTGGGTGAGCCCATTATCCTCTCTGTGCCTCCATTTTCTCTTCTCTAAGATGAATGGGTTATTTTAGATGATCTGGAAGGTTTCTTCTAGCTCTAAGTTAAATTCAGCAAATGATAAACATCTAATATGGATTGGAGATGAATCCTATGTTCTTTAGCTCACCATAATTCCATAAATGAATAGAGTGCTAGCTTTGGAGTCAGAAAATCTGGGTTTGCATTTTAGCTCTGCCTCTTACTACATATGTACCCTTGGACAGGCCACTTAATCTCTAGCCTAGTTTCTTTACCTGTAAATAAAGAAAAACCAAGAAAGAGTTGGAATTGATAACATGATAAGTCTGTGGATGTTCTTCAGTTTTGGCTATCAAATTCTTTTAAAGCATAACTCAAATGCAGTGTCTTCCATGAAGCCTTTTCTGACATCCCCAGTCTTTGATGACATTATTCCTTACTCTCTCCTCTAAAAAGTTTGATTGATGCCTTTTGTTTTGATTTAAAAAATAAATGTTTTATTGTCTTTATAAAAACCCTATCCTTCCCCCAGCCTTTCCTAATAAAACTTTTCCTTGTTACAAAGAAGCAGAAAAAACAAATCAATATGTTGGCCATATCTGACAACCCTCCTACCCAATCTGTGGTTCACCAACTCTCTTCTCAGAAGAACTTCAGTTCTTACAAGTCACGAGTGGTCAGTTCTGATATTTTGTAATGTTGGCTTTATTTATATTATTGTACTCATTGTGTAGTTTGTTTTCCTGGTTCTATTTACTTTTCTGTGCTTAGTTCGTATAAGTCCCCAAGTTTTCCTGAATTTTTCATCTTGGTTATTTCTTATTGCACAATAATATTACATCATGTGCATATGCCATATTTTATTCAGTCGTTCCTCAGTTGATGGCAACCCACTCTGTTTCCAGTTATTGGGTGTCGTTTAAAAAATTGCTGTTACAATATTGGGTATATTTGGGATGTTTCAGTCTTTTACTTTGTGGTGTGTGCCCAGCAGTAGGAGGGAAGAAGAGAGAAGGGCACCTTACCATCTTGAGCTACTGTCTCCTGCTTGATCTTTATAGGTCTCCTTCTTGGTCTCCTCTAGTTGGGGTGGGAAGAGGAGGGGAGAGTGCCCTACTGTTCTGTCCTGTGCATTTCCTGCCTGATCTCCAACTTCTCTTGGAAAGAAGACTCTTTCCAGTCTCCTGTTGCTATGGTGAGGAGAGAGGGTGCCATTCCAGTCATTCTATCTCAACCACTTCCATTTCCTTCCTGGTCTCCTGTCTTCTTTGGCAAGAAGAGAAGTGCCATTCCATCATATGGGTCTACTAGTTACTACTACTAGCTACTATAGCTCAAAGTTCTTTGCCTCAACTGCCCAAGATCTGAAAAGACCCTACCCTGAGGTCATAACACTATTGACACTGAAAATCTTTCAAAAATTTCCCTTAATGATTAACAAAGTTCACTCTGGTCATATCTCTCTCCTCCCCATTCCTAGGATTTTGAATCCTTGTAAGTTGTCATTCAAATGTCATTCCCCATGTCCCACTGACCAATTCTTTATTCCCATTCCCCTCACCCCCATCCCCCACCATGTCCCAATCCCAAATTACGCCATTGTGCCCTCTGAAATGTCTCTTCACTCCATAGGCAATAAACTCGCTTGCTTTTTAAATCTTTTCCTTTCTCCTTTCAGCTTTTGGCTCTCACTGAGACCTGGCTCCTTCCTGATGACATAGCCTCCCTGGCTGTCCTTTCCAGCACTAGCTGCACTTTCACTCATATTCCCTTCCCTTCTAGCTCGCTGGTCAAAGTGGGAAAGTTGGAATATTTCTTCCTCTTGTCACTTCCAGGTTTTCCCCCATCATCATCACTCAGTAACCCCTCCTTTGAGATTCTCACAATTCATAGCTACTGTCTAATCAAGATCCTGGTAGCTATTGCCTATGGATCTGCAGGATATTCCCCTTCCTTAGTAAATTCAATGCCTGGCTCACAGTCTTTCTCTCCGCTCCAATGGCTGCCCTCATACCAGGGGACTTCAGCATACCTATTGATACACCCTCAAGCAGCCTAACCTACCAGTTCTTCAATTTACTCATTTCCTATGATCTCTACCCCTCCTCAGCCATATAAAAAGATAGCCATACCTTTGATCTTGGCATCACCCACAAATGTGCTATTTCTGTATCCATGAATTCTGAATTTCCTTTATCTTATCGCAATAGGTGCTTCTACTTCCTTTCCTCTCATTACTTGAAGCTCTTCAGTCTGGTTTGTGACATCATTCAACTAAAGCTGCTTTCTCTGAAGTTTGTTGTTTAGTTGTTTCAGTTGTGCCCCACTCTTTGTGACCCCATTTTGGGGTTTTCTTGGCAAAGATACTGGAGTAGTTTGCCATTTCCTTCTCCAGCTCATTTCACGGGTGAGGAAACCGAGACAAACAGGGTCA